GGGGCGATGGGTTTTTGGAACTACAATAAAAGCATGATCAATTCACATCAGCTTTTCCAGTAAGAAATCATTTAGCAAGATTTAAAGAAAACATATTAGTAGAATTACATCTCATTTTATCTATTTTTACATACCGAAATATTAACAGCATAATCCTTTTTTTTGTAAAAACAAATTTTCCAAGAACAAGCACCCATTTAAAAATCCTATGCATGGGATATTTGTTACATGATACTCTATTTAAAGCCTTTCTGGTAATATGTATGATTATTTTTAACTCTATAATATCTTTGCTCGAACAATGAAACAGATGTTTTGCCAAAAATATTTTCATTTATTTTCTATGGTACTGCTTAACAATTCTCATGCTTACGTACTTGAAGGCTTAAATAATGTACTTTTGTGAATGTGTATTGTCCTATTGTTAAGACTGGAATTCTTTTCTCGTAAAGCAAACACAGCTATCAGAGAAGTGTGTGCACACAGAGATTTAGCTTGGCAAAGAAACATTAAAATAAAATTCTCTTCCAAGATGCTTTTATAAACTATGAATTATTCTTAAAAAGTATTGCTTCCGTATGACAACTAGATAAATACCCCCCACTTAAAATGTTTTATAGCTCCCACAGATCATGGAATACAGTTTGGCTCATTAATCCCTAAATTAACATTATGTAGGCTGTTCAAAGGATTAAACTTGTGGTAAAATGTGCCTATAAACCCTGTCACAACAATCCTCAGTTTCTGTTAGCAGAACTGTATGCTTACAATGATGAATAAATAAGAGCGCTATTAGAAAAGTTTTCCAGGTCATTTGAAGTTTTCTTGACAATTATTATAATTTAAAATAATGACAAATGCCGTATTTCAATAAAGGCCTACAGCATGAACAATTAATTTTCTACAGGCTGTCTTCATAACCATTAGCATTTAGAATTCCAACAGAAACATAATACAGCAAATTAAATTTGGAATCTGTACTGCTTTAAGACCGGTGTTTCAGTGCTAGCCACAAGCCCGTGCAGATGAGTAAAACTTCAGTCACAGCAAAAATGTACTGTACACAATGAACATTCATCTACAGTTGATACGCACAAACATGAAGTAGTCATCTGAACAACAACAGTAAACAGCAAAAAATCTATTCTCAGGCAACAGGATAAATTGTTCAAGATTTTAGAGACAAACTGTTTACATTGATCCATGTACATGGACCTCTTTTTTTACACAGGAAGCTTTTATCCTATGCGACTTATATTGACATTTATACAGCTGGGCATTTTACTGGGGGAAGCAGGGTAAAGTAACTTGCTCAAGGCTACAACAACAGAATCTCACCCAGAACACAAACACACAGCCTTCTAGTTACAAGCCCAGAGCCCTAGCCACTGCTCCACAATGCTGCATTTACTGTACGTCTCAGCAATCGGCTCAGTTGCTCTCGGACTACACCAAATATTTTCACATTTGAAATAAAACTGTTTTTTAACTTCGGTTATACCTGCTAACTAAAAGAAAAGCAGAGGCCCATTACCATTAGAGTAATTCTATAGGGTTTCTTAATTTCACATTTTATATTGTCCCTCTTCTAAAGAATGAAATATAGACCTAAACTTCCACCTAATTATGATTGGATAGAATAGGAACTAGCTTAGAATAGTAAAGAGCATGCCTGGCTGCTTTCTTTACTCACAGATCTACACATTTTAAGTAAATAGTTGTCTCATATATTCAGATCTTTTCTTTTAATTTTTGTCCAAAGCAAAAACCAAACTAATATTTTTCAGTCTATGATCCAGTGAACTCCACAGCCCTTGCCACTTAGTACTGAATGTCTCCTTGTATTGTCTAATGCAATACATCATCACTCACAGAAAGTTAATCATTTATAGTTTTGTTAGTTACTGTACAAACATTGCATTGCTCTGACAGCCTACATTTCTAAGACAGACCCATTATTTGAATTAATTTAAAGCTTATCTGTTCCAGCTCTTATTGCTTGACCTATTAATGCTTAACTAAATATGCATTAAAAACCACTGTTTAAACTGCTTTTATAAGTTTAAATAATATTGAGATTGGACGCACTGCACTGATTATATGCATGAAACCATTGTTATCTTTTATTAAAGTACATAAAGGTGTGTACTATGCACCCCGCTTTCTAAGCACACAAATATTTTTTTAAAATAATAAAACAGTTGAGTCAAAAACATCTGAATGTTGTAATTAAAAGTCAATAAATGCTTTTAAAAAAACTCATATTTGAGTAGTCTCAGTTGTGGTTACATAACATTTAGAAGTGTTTGTTGTTCATTCAGTATGTACCTAGCTTTTATAAATACATAACAGAAGGAATCAATTAGTTCAAATAGAAAGAGAGATTAATAGCCTTTCCTTGCTTGTTTCAAAACCAGAATAAAATTTTGCTTGCAATATTAATCCAAGAGAGGAAATTATTTCCACAAAAGTAAGAATTTAGTGGTCTTACTACAGACCCAGACTTATTTAACATCAAATTGAGACGTTGAACAGTATTACAAATGCTTTCTTAATATTTTAAAATATTGTACCTTTTTATAATGGGCATGTAATGTTTGATACACACCTGTCTCTTAAGATTATACGCATCTTAAAGTGCTTTTATGCTGTCCCTGAATTAGGAAAAATAATTTACAGTTGATACAGTAAGACCATTTACTGACATTAGTAAAAATCTGCCACAAATGTATAATGCAGCTGTTCAATCCTTGAAACTTAACACAGAATGTTTACCAAGTAGACAAAATCAGAAGGGAATCTCCACATTTTTATGAATGAATACATTTATTCATTAATTTTTGGATATGAATTATATTTGACAAAACTGAACAAGGACAATATACTTAATATAGCTCAAAAATACATTCAATTCAATATTCACGCACATATTATGTATAGACCTCCCTCACAATGTATGTATATACATCTGTAGTACACATTCAAAGTGTACGTAGGCTACCTGAAACCCAAGAGTCTATGTGGTGAAATCTTTATTATTACACATTAACACCGAGTGGGCAAGTCAATCAATCATTTTATGTGCTATAGAACCCTTTACAACACTGCCAAAAATAAATATCTTCCAAATGGTTACAGTTTTGTTCAAAAGTCCAGAGGTTCTTGTTGGGGTTTATAAACCTCTCTTGTAACTATTAAAAAATCCTGTGAATTTCCACACAAACACAAACCTGACTCTGTTAATTGAAAATTTCAAGATGCCAGTCATTCCCAACTAATTAAAGTGATCTGATAATGAAGAAGGGATCCGGACATTATCTCCTGCTGCATTTTAAAAGATTTGCTCTCAATGAGCAACAATTATGATGATCCTACAATAAACTGTGAAAAAACAATAACACTGAAATTACATTTTTAATAGGATTTTCAATATTACAAAAGCACAAAATAGAAGAAGTTACATATAGATTTCCCTCAACAAAAAGCTGACTAGAGAAAACAAACTGGAATTCAGTATTTATACTAGTTGGCAGTGGAAACTGAAATAAAATCCTTTACACATTCTTCATTTTGCTGCTTTAAAAGTCATGTCTATGCTCAGTTCATACTGAGTAAAACATAAAAATGTGTAATTTGTGGACCTATAATGTTATAACAGCAACACATCCAAGAATCTATCACTATGATTTGAAGTCAAGCAGAGTTTTATGAAGCTTCGCATGTTTCATCAACAGGAAATCGATTGGCATTACAAACTGAAATCGGTGCCATCAATAAAACACAACCCAAACTTCACTAAACATTTCAGATTGTTCTGTTCGTTTGAGGTTTGGAAGTAATTTTTCTTGTGCATGTATTTTTGAAGAAATTCATATAGGTTAACATTCTGTTTTTAGGCTGTTTTCGTTTTTAATGTTAATCTAAGTAAAGGTGAATATATTTGTGACAAATCTATTCACAAACAGCTGCATTTGTATTAGCAAAACTCTCTTAACTGTGTTTGAGTGATTTATGACAGAATACCATTCCTTTATTTTAGAATTTATGTTATTAAATCCTGGAGTTCATTCCACTGAAGTCCTGTAAATGTTCATACTTTGGGATCTTCCGTTCACAATTCACAATGGGCCAGTTTATACAAGTGCTTTTTCACATGAATCAGCATGGTGCGGTGTGCACGTGTGGGTGGAAAACCTTTGAACATGCTGGAAACAGCCTTACTGTTTTGTATAGGACGTTGGTCTTTTCGGGTCAGATTCAGCAAAATGTGCAACTTAGTATATCACTAAATACACTGTTCATGGAATTGCACATCAAATGAAAAGTATGAAGTTTCAGTTTTAAGGAAATTTCAGGAAATTCTTAATATATGGATAACCCTAAATGATGAGGGTGAGGGAACCTTATACTGTAATTAAGCTATAAATAAATCGTTGATTTTTTTTAATATAGGACCATATAAGATTTATTTGAAGTTTTTACCACATAAAAACGGTTTTCAGTATCTGGAGTATTAAAACTGGGCCGTTTAGAATGCCTATGTTTAAATAAGTGTGGACCACAACACTCCAGCAATGCATTACAAAATGGGGATTCTCTCTCTGAATCAATGGGACAGTTCTGTGAACAGGGAAGCACTATATTCCAGGTAAACTGCACCTGGAGCCAAACGGACTATACAGTAGATGTAGATAACTGAAATATTACCTTCTATCTGTTTTGTTATTTGAAAGGCATTTCAAAGAAAAAAAAGAGCAATCCGTAGAGAAGAGAGACTTTACTTGTAAAAAAATGCAAAATAGTACCAAGTCCACTCTGATTTCACGAGACATAAAATCCCTCAGTAATGAAAAACCCACATGTAAACCAAGCAACTGCTTTTTCCATTTACAGCATATACTAGGAAGACCAGTCTGCACTTCTCACTTGAGATGGAACATCTGATTGACATAAGGTAAAGGTAATAAAATATTTCAGTAATCTATAAAACCTTAGCGATTAATACACTTAAAACAAACTGGCAGCCATAAACTGGCAGCCATGGAATTGTTTTATTTTTATTACCTGTTAATTACAGAGCATAAACCTTTTGATGGTTTTTGGCATGATATGTATTAATTCAATGTGCTTTATTTGCCACTAATCTCATTTTATCCTGAGAAGAGGTTCTTATATTATATCCGGTAATCTGCCTGTGTGTTTTTTCAGATAATAAAATATTTTAACAATCTATGAAACCTTAGTGATTAATACACTTAAAACAAACTTGCAGCCATAAACCGATCATTTTTTATTTTCATTACCTGTTAATTACAGGTCATAAAACTTTTGATGGCTTTTGGTATAATATGTATTAACTGAATTATTTTTTTGCAACAATATGGAGTAAATAAATTCAGCACACACGCATGGCCATTTGAACTTCATCTAAACTGTCTGCATTATGAATCACAGGAGTCATAAAGAAAAAACAAGTAGATAAGAGGTTTGTTCTATCTGGTGATAATTTGTAACCATTTACAGTACATGCACTGGTGTGCTGAATGATCAGGATGAATCAAAATTGGACAGTATTTCCAAAACTGATAAATCAAGTAATCAAGGAGTATGCGTTACAAGCATATATACAGTATTATGCAGTTTCAGATCTTCTAATAGAAGACCTTCTGAATAAACTTGTTTTATATAAGAAAAAAAATTCTGCTTAAGGAATTTCGGGCATCAATCTCTTCCCAGTGGAATTATATTGTTTTTTGGCAGAATGCAAGAGACTTTTCTACACAAATCCTTGGGATTAAGAGAGCAAAGATATACATTACAAGAGTTACCCAATCCTAAACATACTAGGAAACTGAACATCCTGTTAAATTCAGTCACCACCTCATTCTCAAATGTATGAAAATAAACCATGTTGTTTTGCATTATCTTGTTTTTTGTTACATATCTAATGCAACGTTCACACCTGAAAGTGACTGTTAATTTGATTTCTCTTTTCTGTGGATTACGAACAATACTTTGCCAATGAATGTCACAAACAATAATGCAGAAGAATAAAAGGCCCAAATACAAATCAACATAAGGGGTATTAATTTGACACTAATTTACATTAATTTGTTTTTCTACGAAGAATGGTAATAGAGCTCATGGTAACAGAAATAATAATATATGAATCCCCATTTTGCTTGTTATAAAAATTCTAATGCTCTGTAAATACTTATTGAAGAGCTTTCTTGTTAGAGAGCAGAATCTGATTTCTTAACTGTCAAAATAATACATGACTTGATTTTTCAGATACACCAACCTTAACAGGAACGTCTACAAATCTAATTTCTAAATAAAAAAAACACTTTCCACAATCATAGATACTCCTCAGATACACCATAATTTAACTGTTCAACTTTTTTATGTTATTATGATCAATATTCCTCCAATCTGCAATATAAACAGAATGTTCTACATGTAAACATTAAGAGAATGTTTTAGAAAATGCTGTCTCATCCTCTCACAATTTCGCAGTCGCATACATCTTCCATAACCATAATTAACTTAATCATGTATATAATTTAAAATTTAATTTAATTTAAAATTTCTGAAAGAAGAGCTTTCCTTTGTCCTCTCTGCATAATGGAGAAACAGTATAAAGCACATCTGTTTCCAGAAAAGGAATATAGTCCACTATATTGATATGGAGCATTTATTGACATAACAATGTGAAATTTTAATTGAATTAACATCTTGGAGAAGCTGGAATCTTAGATCTATTGAAATATTAGAAAATGTTAAGACTGTCTTGTAATATTTTTTCCTAGTATTTTAGCCTTGTTTAAAATTCCAGGAAAACAATAATATTTTCATTTTTTTCCATCATATCTTGTAAGCTTACAGCTTCCTGATGTTATAAAATTATGACTACTTACGTCAGAACATAGTTAACACTGACTATGCAGTGCGGCCTGGAGGACCTGCTGTTGTGTACGATTGTAGCATAACTCTGGATCCATACCCATCCTCCATGTTTGGCAAGAAATCTGTAGTATTTTGTAGTGACTTGTCCTTTTACAAGTACTGCAGCAAAAAAAGAAAATGTTTTCAAACATAAAAAGTCAGAATGCAAAATAAAATTACAATAACACAGTAAATTTTAGCATAATTAAGAACACGTTAATTTTACCTTACAAAATGTACCAAAATACAAACAGTACCAACACAATGTACCAAAATACAGACGGAATTGTCAAAGAATTTCTTTTTAGCAATAATCTTGTTTTTTTTTCAAAACATATCCAAGGCTTCAAAGATTTAATTTAATTAAACATACCACTTCCTGTACTACAAATTTCTAAGGGTTAGACCATTCTCTAAGTTTCAATATTGACCTTAATTGCATTGTTAAATTAAAAAATATTTGTACTTGTTTTTTGTGTCTTTCATTCAGGTAAACAACCCAAAATCTGATTATACACCTGCACATTTTAAAACCAGAATAGATAGACCTACTCACACAGATGATGAGCACACCGTAAGTGAAAGGTATCACAGCTATGAACATGGTGGTAGAGGGTTTTTTCTATCAAATCTTGAGGTTCGTAACCTGTCAGATCAGCAACTCTGTGGAAGGTAAGAAAAAGGGATAGTTTTAATTGTGGTAGGAGTGTTTCGTACAGGTAGACAGTTTCTGTGTTCCATTTCTCCTCGGTTACCTGGTAAAATGCCTACCTGGAATCTAAAAATATCAGTTTCATGTCAAGGCTGGCTCGGAACATGAACATGTTGCTGTGCAGTTTGATTTCCGTGACTGCACTGGGGGGCAGTGAGTGGCCAACAGCCACCAGTCCTACATTCTGGTAACACCCGTCAAACGGAGACATGTCCAGGCTGTACTGGCGGATCTTCAGATACCCACTGCAGTGAATTACCTGAAAGACACAATAGCAAATCAATATATTAACTTGTTCTGATGCTGGCATTTGTGTTTATGTTTTTTTATCCTTATCATTGACTGTCTGATGCTAATGTATCCATAATGAGTTAAATTTAATACATTTCCAGAAATATTTTTTTAGAAATAAATATAGGCCTCTTCTAATTAGACCACACACAGTGTATTTGCTGGGTGCCGAAATGTTTACCACTCTAGTTGTAGGATAACTCTTTTCAATGAAAATTATTTTAGGGAATGTGTATATATTTCAATTTGTATTTTACGTTAGCCAGACTTTTAGGGTAGGTTTATCTAAAAAAAGTGCAAGGCTTTGTTGTCATTGCATGCAGCATTATACACTTACTATAGTATTCGTTTTAAGGGCAATGATTCATTGTTATTTTTATACTAAGTTTCTCTTTAAAACACTGGTCTCTGAAAATTTATCTGGTTTAAAATTAGAACATTAAAACAGAATAGAATACAAAACGAAGTACAAAATAGGTCAATAAAAATAAAAGAAGACTGAAGATTGTTGCGATAAAATTAAAACAATGATGACAAAGAACGTTTTTATGAACTAAAGAAGAATTCTGAGAATTTCCAGATCTGTCAAGATTATTACAAACCTTGTATCCACCACACGTCAGTCCCGCATTTCTTTTCGCTAGTACGCATTTCATTCTTAAGAAAAAAGAGCGCTCTATTTCGTACTCTGAAATATAAAAAGAACCCCGTTATTGTAATTGTAAAGTTATATACTGTTTTTGATGAAAATGTGCATCAATAACTTTCTTTTTATTTTTAGGTGCATACCTTGGACAAAGTGTGAATGATAAGGTTGGTGGGCTGTGAGCACTGCCGTCATTTCGTCATGATCAGCGGGGTGGATATATTCATAAATGCTATTTCCAGTCAGCTCTACCTGTTAAAATTAACTTTTGTCATTCATTTATAATAGACTTACCATACACGATCATTATAAATCAAGCCACATAAAGGCTGGTTATAAAAAATGAAATATTTTCTCTGCACGTTGCGCGGAACAATAGCAAGAGACACCGCAGAAGCAGACATTTCAGGGATGACAACATACAAATAAATATCACAGAAGAGTCCACGCATACCTGCGACAACCCCAAGTGCACTGACGCAGTTTCTGAAATGTACATTATCTTCCCATCCGGAGCCACGACAAAAATGAATCCATCTAACGTCTACGAAAAACAAAAAAAAACAACAACTCTAATTAACACAGAAGAAAATACATAAATTAAAATCCTACATTATTTCAATATTTAAAAGTGTTTCCGTCGTATTATTATTGTTGATCATGATTATAAAGGAAAAGGCGTACAAGCAACACTTTTTTTTCAACAGTATAATTCTTTACTTGAAAAAAGTGTGATCTGTGGACGATTTTGAATACTAGAAAACAATATTTTACTGAAATGAACAGTGGCATTTTGCGTGCATATTTTCCGCATACGTTATTTTTATTTCATGGTATTATTAATATATACATATTTTACCTAGCTACTACAATGCTTCTTTTAGGCCAACATTATTATTTCATCTTTTTATTTGCGTTTTTATTCGTTTGTAATTATTACAACACTTGTAAAATAGATTTTGATACGGTCATGTTTTGGTCACATTATTTAATCGAATAATTAATGCGTAATATTAATACTAGGTTAAAATGGCAAATTAAGCAAAATATCGCCACATTGCAATTAGACTTTACTAGCGTTTTGGATTGGGAGCAGCGGTGTACAGTGTTTTGTAGATCAGGTTAAACGATTTCTTCTAGTTAAGCATTGTGTTAACGTACTGCATTAAAGCTTTTATTTGTATCTTCGACATAAAATCTTAGAGCACAAGTTCCGTCTCCAAACTTTCTTCTGTAGCTCCTGAACATGCTGTGCTGCAGTGATCCATGAAGAATCAAAATATATTCGGGAAGACACAATCGGCCTCGAATTTCAAATGCTTAACATGCGATAATGTACTATAAACAGGAGGTGCCTAGTGCGAACAAGCTAAAGTAATCACAGTAAAGTGTATTCTCACATCTTAAATAGTATAAACACACACTATGCTCTAAAAAGCCAAGGTAAACCAGCTACTTTAAATAATTAAACCTTGTTCGACGTTTTAAACCTAAAGAGTAAATACATTTTATATAATAACGAATGAACAGAATCTGAATTAATAATCGTTTGATGCCAAAACAATTAAAAGGCTAAACATATATACTGTTCGAAGTTAAGCTATATAGTTCAACTCACTGTACTCCCATGATATATTAAGTCATTGTAATTATAATATCAAATACACCACTCGTATTTTTGGGAACTAATTTGCACCTTAGTTATGTAAAATAAATAATAATAATAGCTTTAATTTATATAGCGCTTTTCTGGACACTCCACTCAAAGCCTTTTACAGGTAATGGGGACTCCCATGCTTACGTACTTGAAGGCTTAAATAATGTACTTTTGTGAATGTGTAT